GCACTATTAAGACTTAGCATGGTCATCAAGCAAGAGAAAAAGCCCAAGATGCAAGTTGGAGGTAAGATCCATAAAGAATAAGAAGTTTTGGAGAGCCATGATTGTCTATAGCCTGAAGGGACACAAAATATAGAAGAATCAACCTTTTATGGACTATTTTAAAGTATTTTTATATATATAAGAATAATTTCGATCACTGGGGTAGAAAATAAAGGGTTCAGTTCGAAATTCCAACCATAAGAATAATTGTTTTCTTTTCTCTTTTTTTTTTTTTTTTTCTTAGTGAATATTGTGTTAATAAAATTTTTTAAGATAATGATTTTTTCCAAATACAAGTCCTACTATTTAACCCCAAGCTGGATGAAGAAGAGATGGGTACATGCCTTTCACAACTGCTTCTCGGATCAATGCGACTGCTTGATCTCTCACTGTCTGCTGACCTGAGATGGAACAAATACATTGAATCAATAGCTTCATTTACCACAAGTTGGTTTCACGCCAGAAAATATTTTCTCACCCGAGTCCATCTTTCAAATCTATAAATCAACTATTTGCCCTTGCATGGAATACTACTGCCATATATGGTCTGGAGCCCCTGCTCTTTGTCTTAAGGTCCTTGACAAAATCTAGAGACTGATATGCAATGGATTGGCCCTGATCTGGCATCTCATTTACAGTTGCTCCCTCACAGACGTGCTGTCGCTTCCCTCTGTCTTTTCTATAAATACTTTCATGGTAACTGCTCCAACAAGCTACTTTAACTAGTTCCCAAACTGCATGAATTTAAAAATGCTACTAGGTTGTCATTTCAGTCCCACCCTTTCACTGTCAAAATGGTTAAATGTAACCGTCTCTTTTACTCCAATAGCTTCATGTCTTGCACTTCCTGTCTGTGGAACTCTCCTTCCTCTTACTTGCTTACCTGATAGCTATAATCTCCAATTATTCAAATGCAATGTCAATTGACATCTACAGATGCCTTGATCTGTTCCCAATCCTTGTCTTCATCTTTTCCTCTTTCATGCCTCTTTACTCTTGCTCCCACTCTCTGTAACTCCTTACATGCTAGGGGTCCTCACGCCTTGCTTGGGGTGAAATGCTTAAAAAGAAATAAAAAAGTTATTTGTGCATAAGTGAATGTGAAAAACTCAACTGAAATTCAAACTCAGCTAATATTAGCCATTTCCTTATAAAGAAACATTTGGCATTCATTAACCAAGCAGCCAGTAATACTTGAATTACACTTTTCTTCACTCCCTGGCCATGAGGTTAGGGATCAAAGTGTAGTATCTGTTTTCCTTATTTTTAACAGTTATATTAGCTGTTTATAAAATTTATAAAATCTTCAAACAAATTTTCAATAAAATAAGTTTCTCAAGTTTACTGTTATTGCTTTTTTAAGTATTGATGGAGTTACCTTTCTTGTCTTTTGTTTGAAGTCCTGTGGAATGTCAACATCTTGATTATGCCATTATTCTTTGTTTAAATTATATATGCTATGCATTTTAGTTGTTGCTGCTATTGAAGGTCCTCAAGTGATGTTGTTTCTCTTATTTGGTGCAGTTCTATATTTGTCATTCTGTAGCCCCAGTTCTTAAGGTTCAAAGGAGGATGGTCCTTGCTGAGACCTACTGCATTCACTCACTCACTTTTATCTGAGAAGCAGTTGTATACAGCTGACTGTTTAGCTATTTCAGAACAAGTTTGGCATCATGCTTGACAACCCTATGAAATTCTTGATCTAACAAGGGTATTTAAGAACATGACTCAAGATTTTTAGGTTAATATTTTGGTTTTCTAGCAATTTGCAGTGTTGGGAGAAACTATCCTTAGCAGAGAATATTCTCTGTTCAAATTCCTTATCTTCTATTCTAAATTTCTTCTAATTGATGCATTCACTGATGTATTTGAAATGATTAGTATTTGCTGATTCTACATTCTGAATTTTTGGGATGGATTCAACGTATGTGTCATTACAGGTTTCATTTCCAATTCCAGATCATAGTTTCTGGTTTGGAAATGTTTTTCTTGGGTCTTATTTCCAGGATCACTTGGAAGTGGATTTTTTTTTCATGATCATTTTATCCTGACTATAAATATTTTTCATCAGAATAGCCTCCACCTCATCATCAGTACATTAGCCTTGGGAGGGGAAGCAAGAATGGGTAAACTAAAGTATGACCTGAATCACATTTAAAAAAAAAAATAAAGATTTCTTCCTGTTTAGAAAAAAATCATTATCTATTTTGTTTTTTGTTTTTTAATTTTAATATAAACAAAGTAATGAAAAATATGGTAGTCTGTCTTAAGTGTTTTATTATAAATGGCGTAAATATTTTTATTACTTTGTAGTAATTTTGTCCTATTTTTACTTTTAATAAAAAGTGCTCTATTTAAAAATGATTTACATGTATAGATGGATGCTTCATAACCGCATGTTTGTTAAAACAAAGTATTTTTAAAATTGAACAATGATTACAATATATACACTCATCAATTATGGACTAAAAACACATAAATCTGATTTTTAAACTTTTTTTAAAAATGCTTAAATTTTTTTTTTTTTTTAAACCTTTTTGAAAGCACTTAATTTTGTTTTTAAACCTGTTTAAAGAAGTTTAAATTTGTTTTTAAACTAGTTAAAGAGGTTTATATTTGTTTTTCAACCTTTTAAATCTTGCAAAATCATTATAAATCATAAATCTTGTATTTTATTCAGTTGTGAAACAGATGTATTTCTTCTTTCTGTCTATCTCCATACAAGTGCATTTTACGTAAGTCATCTCTGTAAAGTTTACCACTCATCATGGCCACTGTAACTCTCTCCATCTCTTCATGCAAGTCTTGCTAGAAACAGAACCCAGTGCAAACTGAATGGATGAAAACCTATGAATGGTGTAGCAGTTTCAAGAATCATTGATTCAGCCATTGTCTTTGTCTTTTCTTTCTCCTCTTGCTCTCTGTCATTTCCATCACTTCTTGATGTCTGCAACTGTTCCATTTGATGATTTACTGTTCAATTGTTTGTAGCATGAGTGAATTTTTTTTTGTCAGGCCTCAGTTCTGGATGAACAAAGACACACTTATTTAATGTTTTCAGTTGGGATTTTCTTCTTCTTTCTTTTCTCCACCATCTGCTCATTTATTCACTGGGGTAGTTGCAATGGCTCAGATTGTAAAATGTGTTTGAGTCTTCCTCAAGAAGGTCTTTTATAACTCAGCTCTTTTTTTACTTGTGACTGACACAACCCAAGGTGAAAGTTGTGGCTCAGCTAGTAAAGATGAAAGGCATATTTATTTTCACCTATTTTTATTTATTTTTTTTGGCTGCTTTTCAGCACTTTAGCTAAAAAAGACAGGAAATTGTGGAGAGCCATGAGGGAGCAGCATATAAAGAGAAGAGAAGAATCTACCCTTATCTTTACTTTTTTTTCTCTTCTGCCAGTTATTACGAAGGGTAGATATCATGCCCTACCAGATGACAGGTTTGGCTCTGACTAAAACTAAGCTTGATATACCAGTTATATTTAGTAATTAGATAGCATCCTCATTAGAATTACTTTGACTAAATACTTTTACTAAATAGCACCTCTACTACTACGACTAAATACTTTTACTGAATAGCATTCCACTACAAACTACTACTATTACTAAATAGCATCCCACTACTACTAATACTACTGTTATTAAATATTACCTCTACTACTACTAATACTATTTTCATTAAATACTTTAATAAATAGCACCCCCCACTACTAATACTACTATGACTAAATACTTTTAGTGAATAGTATCCCACTACTACTACTACTAAATAGTATTCCCACTACTACTATTATTTTGACTAAATAGCACCCCCATAACTACTACTATAACTGCTTTGACTAAATAATTTACTGAATAGCACCCACAACTCCTACTACTACTTTGATCAAATAGCACCCCATTACTACTATTTTGACTAAATACTTTTAATGAATAGCATCCCACTACTACTATTACTACTACTACTACTAAATAGTACACACACTACTAGTACTACTTTGAATACTTTTACTAAATAACACTCTATTACTACTACTACTTTTACTAAATAGCACCACCGCTGTTACTACTTTAATTAAATTCTTTTACTGAATAGCATTACTACTTTGACTAAAGATAGGTGTCTTAATTTATCTAGTAGGATGTTAAAAACATCTCAGCACTGTGGACAGGACTGAAGAAATTGAATTTTTAATCTAATTTATATCTACTAACAGTATCTTATCATTAGTACTTAGCTAGTACTTGTCATTTTTTGTAGTTTAAATTTACTTTGTGTGTGTGTGTGTGTGTGTGTGTGTATATATATATATATATATATATATATATATATATATATATATATTCAAATAGTCTATTGCATTCACTTTCACACGAATGACAGAAAAGATTTGCATCTGTCTTAATTCCTCCAGCTAATGGTTAAATAGCAGATTAGACTGAACATTCTAGCCTTGGATGGCAACCAGTCTAAAAGGAAAATTCTGAATTCAGAACTGTAGGGAAGACAACAGGAAACCATTCCACTATCTTTCTTAGGCAGTTCATGGATAATAAAAAAATAATTTGTGGGGAGCCATGATTACCCATATCCTTACGAGACAGCATTATGAAAAAAAATTCAACACTGATACAATCAAATCATGTTGAAAGCAGCTGTATCGTTCAATCACTGAAGTTGATTCATTCATTCATTCATTCTCTACAGCTTATCAACCTTATGCAGGTTATTAAAAGCCAGAAAATATTTTTAGATTGTAATTTTTTTATTTTTTTTTTTTGTTGAGGTAATAATGTTTTAGTGATACAAGTCTTATTATTCAACCCATACCTGGTTGGAGAAGAGGTGGATTGATACCTTTTCCAAGGGTAAGTGAATATAACAAACCCAATGGGAATTGGAACCAATTAACAATTCTGAGCCATTATCCATTACACCACCTACAGATCGAAACTTACAACACCTGATATTCCCAAGTGGTCACTCATCTAGGTACTAACCAGGCTCTATGTTGCTTAACTTCAGCGATCGTATAGGAAACAATGTTTCAACATGATATGGCCATAAGCCATAATCACTGAAGTTAAGCAACATCAAGCCTAGTCAGTACTAAGATGAGTGACGCCCATTATAATAAGTATTAAAAAGTAAACCCTGCCAAAAGATCCCACCTTTGGGATATGTGTGGGGATGGTAAAAAAGACAGTGGTGCGTATAATGATGGATTGTTGTTTCAGATCACATATTGCCTGTGCCTGGCAGAGGAACATCATTGTTAAGGGCCTGAAGACACTGTCTCTAAAGAATGAGACTCTGCAACTTTTAGTAGGTGTTTTCAGTGCAAATTATACAAAGTCATTTGGAATGCAACTGAAAAAACATGATGGTTACTGAATCTCTTCATTCAATTTTTCTTTTTTCAGGACAATTTAAAGGGAAGAAGTATATATGATTCCATCTAAAGTTTTTCTTTGAAACAATGAGCATCTTCTGAGAAGAGGTACGGTGGAGTAATGGATAATGGCTCGGATTGAGGAATTGGAGAGCCAAGTTGGAATTCTAATCAAGTCTATTGCATTCACTTATATGCTAATACCCTGTATTTGGGCCTTCAAAAACTGTGGTTGGTTCTGCACAAAGCCTTCACCCCTATAATCAAATCATATGGGATTATTGTGAGAAAATATGCAGGGTGTAAAATGAATGATTTTATATCTATTTCCAGTGGGAGGCACAGTGGAGTAATAGATAGCAGATTGGATTGGGGAATTGGAGAGCAGTGTTCGAATTCCAGTTGAATCCATTACATTCACTTACATGTTAATACTCTTGGGAAAGGTATGAATCCTCTTCTTCTCCCCCCAACTATGGGTAAATAGCTGGAAAGACTTGATTCTATAGCCTTGGATGGTAACTGGTCTATCACAGAAAGAAACGACAACCTACTGCAGGAAAAAATCTGCCTAGTCAGTCATGTACTGAAAGATACATGATCGTCTGTGTGTGTATCACCCATGGCACATAAGTGAGCATCATCAACTTTATACTTTGAATTGAATCTGATACACTTTGGTTTTAGTCTAATAAAAAAAAAATGTGTTTCTACTATTATCATTTTAGTAGTATTTGTTGCTATTATCTGCTACCAGTATTGAATAGTATTTGTTTTTTACAATAATGTTCGCTCTGTACAAGACCCGTGGGCTACGCGGGTTACAGAGTAAGAGGCACAGATTATGTGGAGAAGGTAAAGGTTAACCCTAGACTTGAACAGGTTAAGATTATAGTGCTCAGTGAAGTATCCTCTAAGGTGTCAGTTCCACAAAGCAATGGTTCATGGGAAAAAGCTGCTCAAGTAGAACTTAGATCTTACCAATGGAATGTGAAACAATGAGGGTGATTCACTACAATGTACATTACAATGTCCAGTCTTAGCTGTGAAGGTTAAGACTGATGGAACTAAAGGGTGTACTTCGTCTGGACACTTTCCATGGAAATAGCGATAGAGCAGCAAGCGGCTTGTGATGTTTCATCTGTGGGAAAGGAGTTGTAGTATAAAAATTAATTCATCACCCACAAGTAGGCAAAGATGGCTTGGGACTCTATCAAAGTTGAAAAGTAAAAACTGGGATTGTAGTAATAGTATTTGCTGCTATTATTGCAGTAATTGTATTTGCTACTAATATCTGCTACTAGTAATGAATAGTTTTTGCTGCTGATATAGTGATTTTCCAAGCATTGCTTAGATGTGGCACAAGGCCGAAAGTAGTGGGCACCCAGTGAGGATTGAACTCACTATTCAGTCGTAACTGTTCTAGCAAGACAAGCTTGTTAGCTATTACACCGCCTTGAGGTGCCCAATTTCTTTTTCTTTTTTTTTTTTTTGCTACTGATATATGCTACTAGTATTGAATAGTTTTTGCTGATATATGCTGCTAGTATAGAATAGTATTTGCTACTAGTATTGCATAGTATTTGCTGCTATTATTACAGTAATAGTATTTTTTATGACTATTGAATAGTATTTACTGCTAATACATGCCACTTGTATGGAAGTAATAGTAGCTTCAATTTTTCTTGCTTCTAATAGAACAGCCAAAGCTTGTTAGAGATTTTGTCTGAAGAGTGAAAGAAAGTAGTAAACATATTTGGAGATAAATAATGTTAAACCTGAATGAGTTTTAATGTCTATTTTTGTATTGAAAATATATTTTCATAGTATCAGCATTAATGACCCAAAAAAATGTGGATATTAAACACTTTAATACATAATAATTTCCAATGAGAGTAGAAACCTTTTTATCTTTATTTACACAAAATACAAATTATGTATTGATTAGAATTTTTTTCTTTTTGTTAATGGGGGAAGGTCCATCCTTTTCTTTGCTTAACTCTGGGATTCCCAAAGGAAGCAGTATGGGTGGAATGATACAGTCAGAAAAAAGTGACAGCAGGCAGCAGTGTGGCATTAAAACCAAGTAATATTTTTTGTTTTATCCAAGTCACTTATACTTAAGGAACTCATCTGCTTTACAGAAAAAATTAACATAAGAGTTATACATGGTTTTATTTTTGCTGTTGTCCAAAGATTTGTAGTGGCTGTGCAGGTGGTGTAATGGATAGCAGAAATTGGAGATCCAAGTTCAAATTCTGGTCCGAGTTTGCTCTATTCATTTGTGCCCAAATACCCTTGGGGAAGGTACAAATCCCTCTCTTCTCCCTATCTATGGATTAAATAGTTGGACTTGTATCTGGAAAAATCGTTGTTATTCTTAATAAAATTGTTAATGTAATTTTCACTCCCCCACAAAAAAGATTTATTCTTACAATCCAAAGTATATCTTGGTTTTAAATAATCCATAAAGTGTTGATAATTCATAAAAAAGCAAAGCACTCAATGAAACCAAACATTTTTATCTTGCTACTCTTATCTAGACAGGACACAACAAATGCCATCCATATCAGACAACTGATGTCTGTAGAGGCCAATAGTCTAGGTTTGTAGGTTTAGTGATATAGCCACGGATGTGTGTCTGGTGACATCTTATTCAAAATATATGTGAGTGTGTCTACAGTGTTAGATTAGTTGCTGTGATATTGCAGCATACTTAATATCAAAAAAGAAGTGTTTTCATATGAGTTTAGGAGGGGGTGCTAAAGATATAGTGTAGGAACCAAGAGAGAAGTAATTAGAAAAATTTTTGGAACTGCTGGTCAAACCCAGTAACACTTAACTGTGAAATTTGGAATTATTAAAAAAAAAATCCTATTATTGGGATGGTGGGTATTAAGGGGGTTAAAATATTTGATGCTTATTATGAGGGTGATGTACAAGTAGTAAGTTTTTTTGTTTTTTTTTTATGCAGAAAATAGAATTGGCAAGCCAAGTTCAAATTTCAGGCGAGTCTGTTGCACTCACTTTTACACAAATCCTTGAGAAAGCATCAATCTGTGTCTTCTCTCCTCCATCTAGATGTTAGATAACAGGGTAGACTATGCTATCTAGCCTTGGATGGAAACCAGTCTGTGAAAAGTAAAACTTTACAATGGTGAACAACTATCTTTCTCAAGAATAAATAGAAATAAAAAGGAACCTGTGGAGAGCCATAATTACCTGCATCCTGATGGAATATTGCATTTTTTTCTTAAATTGTGTGTACATTAGTAAATCAGTAAATCCATAGCCTAATGATGAAAGACATTTATTTTAAGCAGGAAATATATTTTAACATATTTTCCTTCTTTATCAATGCACTTAATTCAGTAGTAAATATTATATTATACATAGATATCTCAAGTCTTCAGCCTGATGAATTTTAAGCAACAGGTATTTTTAACTTAATCTCCTTTGTCCTTGCAGTGGTGAATATTATACATAAATATATCAAGTCTTCAACCTAATGATGAAAAAAAACATGTATTTTAAGTAACAAATATTTTTAACATATTGAACATTATATGATGACAATTTCAGAAGAAAATTCAGTTAAAATCTCTATCTAAAGCATTGGTCTTATTGATGTGTGTGCTACAAAATCTTTTTCATGGAGATATTTAAAGTAAACCAAAGGGTAAAGTTTACTTACCTTCATTTAAGCACAGGGGTAGGGGTCCAGATGGTTACAAACTCAAATACTTATCTGTCTCTAAACTAATTAAATGCATATAGACTAAAATATAAACAAACAAACCTACACTCAAACCAAATAAATGTTTATAAACTCAAATATAAATGGCCAATATTTACCTATCCCCAAACCAAGTAAATGCTTACAGATCTCTATCTATAAAAGGCAGTGTGTGTGTGCGTGCGTAATGAATGCATGGCCACAATTTTTGATGGATTTACACCGAAATTTACATGCACATGCTCCAAGTTAGCGGGAAGGCCAACACCGACTTTGCATTTCCCAACTCCCATCGATAGTGGAAATAATCGATTTTTTCATGCTTCTCTGACAGTTTTTCATGTAGTTTGCAGCCATTTTGTACTGGCCAGGTGAGCCTATAGCTGGCTGCCACGAATAGTCAAGAAGATTCTATTGGCCAGCGTGAGAGCCAACAGCTGAATGACACGAATGTTAACTAGCATGCTAGCATGCAAAAAAAAAAAATAGCTGCATTGGTCACAAGTGGGAAAAATTTAAATCTGCATGGCACTTTACTCCAATTGGCTCATTAAAACACTTAAACTCAACGTTGATTCTGATTCCGCAGAACTGGGTTGGGTGTGAAAAAAAGTATTTCTTGTTAACATTCTTTTTTCATTCGGTTTTTTCTAATTCTGAGTCCTTTTTTAAAGCTGATCATTTTGTGTTCATTTTGTTTAGTTCTTTTTTCATAACAGATTTAATGTTTAGTATAGAGTTTAGAAAAAATTCACAGTGTGAGATAGGCAAGAAGTAAGGCATGTAGCAACATCAGCACGGCAAAGGGCACTCCTTTAAAGGCAAGGATGGGCAAAAATATTTTAAGTCAAGTGATAGCGATTGCTGTATGAGTCGTACAATTTTTGAATCAAGCACAGGCAATGCCGGGCCATGCTGCTAGTGCAAATATAATTTTA